TAAAGCTGGTCCTGACCTAGTCCTTACCACTAATGTTATGAATATTCTGTGAGTTATTTTCAAGGATAATAAGTATAGTGGGTCATAATAACTCCCATCTATATGGTACTAAATTAAGCTCCTCAAAGTCAGAAGGACAGGTTCTAGCTGCTAGCTCTGCCACCCAATACCTGCATGACTCAGAACAAGTGGTTTAATCCCAATTGAGCTTCAGTTTTCTTGTCAAATGAGGAGGTTGAATTAGGTGGCACCTATAGACTCCACCAGATGCAAATCCAGTGATCTGATGGGCTTCTTATGACAACATGTCTGAGATAGAGCTCATTCCCTATTTGGCAATTGAGGCAACTGAAGCTGAGGAGGGAGAAAACTTAGTTCTTTCAGCCCAAGGTTGTGGAGGCACCTCACACTGAGGCCCTGTCCCCGGCCCATTACTGGTACCTGTCCAGTGGGAGGGGACACATGAGCAGAGCGATGACCACCTCAGTCATGAAGGAACTGGCCAGTAGGGAGATGGGCAAGAGGGCAACTTCCCGGGCTCGTGGTTCATGGATGGAACTTAGATGCATATAGATGCCATTCATGATATCTGGTATCTGGAGGAAAATAGGAGGGAGAAGTAGAGGAGTGGGGGCAGACAGAAGAGAGAGGAGGGAAGAGAGAGGAGAAAGGGAAAAAGGAAGGGACATAAAGGAAGAGAGGGGAGAGAAAGTAGGAGAGGAAAGAAAGAGAGAAAAGAGGACAGGAAAGGAAGAGAAAGAAAAGCAAAGAAGGAAAGGAAAGGAAGAGAGTAGAAGAGAGGATAGAAAATAGAAGAGGGGACAAGAGATAAGAGAAAGAATGTAAGGAAATGGAAGAAGAAGAGGAGAGAAAGGAGAAAAAGAGAAGAAAGAGAAAAGAAAGAGAGAAGGAGAAGTGAAAGGAGCAGAGGGGAAGAGAAGAAAACAGAGAAAGAGAGAAGAAAGAGGAAAGGAGACAGAGGAAAGAAAGAGGAGGAGACAGAGGAGGATAGGTGAGAAGGAAGAACGGGGAGAAAGGGAATAGAAGGGGGGAAATGGAGGAAGAAGAGGAATGAAGTGGAAGAAAGGAGAAAAAATAAAGGGAGAAGAAGGATGGAAAGGGATAGAGGGGGAGAAAGAAGGAGAGAAGAGAGGGACAAAGGCAGAAAGAGAGGAAAGAAGAGAGTAGGAGGGAATGAGAGGGACAGAAGGGAAGAGAGAGGAGAGAAGAGAAAAAGGACAAGACAAAAGAGAAAAGAATGAGAGCAGAAAAGAGGAGAGGAGAGGGATAAGGATGAAGAGAATGAGAAGAGAGGGGTGGGAAGAACACATGAGGAGAAAAGACAAGAGAGGAAGAGACAAAAAACAAGTAGAGAAATGGGAAGGAAGAGGAGAGGAGATTGGGAGGAGGCAATGAGAGAACCAGAGAAAGAGGAGGAAGGATATATAAGGAAAGCCAAGGAGAGAAGCAAAAGAAAGAAGGAAAAAGGGACAAATAAGGTAACAGGGAGAGGGGAGTAGAGTGATGACAGGGAAAAGGAGAAAAGGTCAAAAGGAGCACGGTAAAGGGAGAATGATTAGTAAGAGCAGAAGAGAAGCAGAAGAAAACAAAGAACAAGGAGAGGATGAGAGGAGGACAGCAGAGGCAAGAGGAGAGGTTACTGCACAATCTCCTCCAGGGAGAAAACCTTGACCCCAACCTGAGAGAGATGGCTCCCCTCCCTAGAACAGCTCTCTCCTCCATTGTCCACCCCAGTCTGGATATTGCCCTAAGGGAGAAAGGGAAGGGAGAAGGGGCACCCCTGGGGCTCTGCTGTCTTCTAGATGTGCAGCCAGGAAATTCTCCTCTCTAATCCCCCCATCTCTGCCCCTTTGGTGACCCAAGAGAGCTGTCCAGGGGTCAGATCACCCAAAGATGGGGTGCAGGTAGGAAAGGGGAGGGCTGGGATTCCCTGGCTCCCTGGCTCTAGGACTTTCTCTGGCAGCCTTCTTACCACCTCCAATACCCTGTATCTATACCACTCCAGAACGGAGCTCAGGGTGACCTCGGAAGCTAATTGCATCATCTCCGCTGTGTCCTTTGAAGGGGTCTCCTGGTCATCCCTCAGGCCTTCCAGGGCAGCCAGAAGTAGATCTTTCACCTGTTGGGGTCTGAGAAAGTCTCCAAATTCCTGAAATGCACAGACACATATGCAGAAGGTTAGCCTTATTCCATTGGGCTCCAGTGGGAAGAATTAGACCCAAGGAGTATGTACTGAGAGAAGGCAGATTCCCCACCACGGTATTTTTCATGTCTTGGGTACCAAAGAGAGACAGACATTCAGAGCTGAAGCAGCCACATTGGCGGTGGAGTGGGGACTGTCTGGCTGCACATACTCCTGCGATGCAGCCCTGACACAAAGGGAAGAAAAGCAGAGACAGAGATGCCTGAAGCCGGGGTGTGGGGGGGAAGACAAGACTATTGAAGAAACCAAGGAGGAGTTGGGTGTGGAGACCAGGACCATGGAACGGCGTGAAGTGATTTGTTTCCCTTCCTGCTTTCCCTCCCCTACTGGCCTTTGGGAACATTTGTACCCAGGGTGACAGCAAAGAGCAGAATGCAGATAACATGGTAAGTAGCTGAACATTCTGCTCCATCAAGAGTGGCTATGCGTTCCACCACCTAGAGCTTACCATTCTACTTTGCATTCATTTTTATGCATTTTTACGCATAAGTAAGTAAGTGAGCTCCTTCTGGAGAAGTGGAGAAGGGAACTAAGATGGTACATCTAAGTGGGTGGGCGCAGAAGCCAAGAGAGTTTTTGGTTACTCTTTTTAAATGTTTATTATATTTTTCAATGCACAAAAATCTATTTTCTCTCCTTCTCACCTTCCTCCCCCCTCAATGAAAAAGAGAGAAAAATAAAACTCTTGTAACAAATGTGCATAGTTATTAGTTATTTTAGAGAATGAACCTATTTTCCTGGGCTTTAAATACAAGGCCCCAGGAGCTTTAGGGAAGTCTAAGGGCCGAGCGTGTTCAGTTAGTAACTAGCTGGCTGCTATGGGGTTGATGTATTTGCACATGCCCAGATGAGAGAATTGGGACAGACTGAGCTTCAAGGGGCTTATAGTCTGACTGTTTCAAGACATTCCCCTTAGGCCTCAGTGGGACCCAGACTGCCCCAAGAGTTGGCTAAGAAAACCCTCCCTAGCCCTTACACAACTATCAAAAGTAGAGTTCCCTGTCACTGGGGATGGCCCAGTACAGCAAGGATGCTCACTCCCAAACTGGCCCAGCCCGTGACTCCTGGGCTACTTCTTGACCCTGCCCCAGTTTGGAGACCTTTTCACCTGCCTCCCCTTTTCATGTCCCGATTAGAATGTAAGTTCATTGAGGGCAGGGACTGTCATTCATTTTGCTTGTATCTATATTCCCAGAGTTTAGCACAGGGCCTGGTATACAGCAAGTGCTTAATAAATGCTCTATCTACTTGCTAGGGATGTCGGAGAGGGAGTTCTTGCTTTAGGTAGCTTCTGAGGTCCATGGTTACAGTGGACAAGCCACCACAAAAGAGTTTTTACTGAGCCCCCTCTGTCCTTGCTGAAGGTGAAGTTGAGCTGTGGATTGTAGGGAACCAGGGAAGCCAAGAAGTAAAGGTGAGGAGGGAGGATATTCCCTGTACAGTTAAGGAGTGTTCATTTTTGTTTTGTAATCCTCCAAGAGGATGCTCCATCCCGGTGCAACCAGCTCCCCCACATCCCACCCTTTGAGTGTCAAGCCCCTAAGGCTTAGCTGATAGCCCCTGGCTCTCACTCCTCAGACCCCACAATGTTGTGGAGGCATCTGGTGAGGATCAGAAGTGCAGGGAGAGCAGCTGTGTCCAGAGAATAGTCTTAGGGAGGAAATATTAGGCAGGGAGGAAGCACAGACACACACACTCCCTGGAGGCTAAGCCCTGGTCACCAACACTAAGGTTCTGATCAATAGAACATAAGCCCCTTGAAGACAGGCACTGTCTCATTGACTGGGCATACAGCGGCACTTAATCAGTGCTTGTTGATTGGCTGCTCAATCAACCATCTCCCCCTCCCCCTTGCCTGTAGTTACCGCGATCACTCTCAAGATGTTTTGGCAAGGGCTGACGGGGTTGTAGGGGCCCAGAAATCGCTTGCTACTCTTGTACAGTTCAAGTTTGTTGGTCTCCTCCTTATCTATGTTCCCTGGAAGAAGAGGGAAAGATGGAGCTTTCCTCCCAGATGGTGCCCCACCCCCACCCCAGCTCAGCTGGTCTACCCTCCATAGAAGCCTGAGCTAGGTCAGCCTCCTTGTGGAAACCCAGGCTACATCAACCTCATCTAGGGACTTGGGGTCCAGGAGCCCTGGGATCAGAATCATCCCTGCTGCCATCTTTCCTGGGAGCCTTCAAGATGCTTCCCAGGAGCTCAGAATTGAGAAGGGTCCTTAAAGATCTTCTTTCTGGTTCAGAACCCTCATTTTACAGATGAGGAAACTGAGGCGGAGAGAGCCCAGCTTCTAGGGAGAGGCAGAACTGGGCTCCATCAGATTGGGCATTCCTTTAGTGGATTCCTTTAGTAGGTTACACAGCCTTTGAGGACCCTGTCCACTTCTAGCTCTGATATTCTATTTTCTGAATTCTGTATTAAGGTCCCTTCCAACCTTAATATTCTAGGTTCTCTCATGGTGGGTTTTCTTCCCTTCCATCTCTGACATTCTATGTTCCAGTGTTTATAAAGGCTCAAGGAGATCTTAGATTCTCAGGAGTGCCAAGGACCTAATGCTATTTGTGGGAGACCATGAGGAGGAGGTGGCTTCCTTGGGTTCTGTCTCCACACCACCGCTCCCATTACATACTCTTCTGGAGCTCCAGGATCGTGTAAAGGATGATGACGCCATCCAGGGCTTCATGGCCAATCTCTTCCTCTGGGTCACATATACGAAGAATGAGCCGTCCAAGGAGAAGACCAAACATGGGGAAGCCAAATATTGTCTGTTGGACAGGATCACAGAGCACAGAGTTAGGTCTCAGACACCACTGAGTTTAATATGCCCATTTTACAGATGAAGCAGCAGAGGATGAGAGAAGTTCAGGGACTTGGCCAGAGTTACAGAGCTCACAGAGGCAGTATCCGAAACCAGGGCTTTCTGTCCATGCTGCCTCACTCAATGCTTATCAATATTGACTCATCTTCCCGAGTTCAAATCCGGCCTTAGACACTTACTAGCTTTGTGACACTTGGCAAGTCACTTAACTCTGTTTGCCTCAGTTTCTTCATCTGTAAAATGAGCTTGAGAAGGAAATGGCAAAACACTCCAGTATCTCTGCCCAGAAAACCCCAAATGGGGTCACTGAGAATTGGACACAATTGAAATCACTAAACAAAACAAAATAAATGTTTATTCCATTCAGCCAGCCAGTCAAACTGACCTGATCTCTGTGTTAGGAATACACCATATGCTTTCTCAGCTCCAAGCCTCACTCATGTCCAAGGGATGGAATTCTTCCTTCCTTTTCTTTGCCTATTGCATTTCAACCTGTCCATTAACACCCACCTGAGGTGCCATCTCTTCCTGGAAGCCAAGTTTCATTCTCCCACATTGGGGTAGAGAATGACCTTGTCCTCTGACCTCACCTAACATTCTGTGCTTTTCCGCTGTACTAACTGGGTGTTATTTATTTATTTATGTAGGTGTCTTCTCTCCTCCTGCAGGACTGTATGCTCCATGAGGGCAAGGATAATAGTTCACATCTTCCCACCACGGCTAATGGTGCACTACTTAGTACACAGTCAGCCCTTTCTAAACAAATGGATGTTGAAATGATTAGAATTGGCATAGATATAGATGCAAAAACCGACATAAGAACCGGTACAGGGATGTGTACACGGAGACAGTGTGGGACCTCAGGAAGCTTCAATTCTCTTTCTGGCCAATTCCCTTCTGTGGGCCTCAGCTTTCTTCCCTATCACAAGTCAAGATTAGGCTAGATAATCTCTTCCAGCTCTAACATCCCAAATACACACACACACACACACACACACACACACACACACACACAATGCCCTCAGACACCCAGCTGACATACTCAGAAACAAGCAAACATGAATGGATGCTAATGGATATACAACCCACAGAATAGTGGCCTCGGTTGTGCTCGAAAGTCAGCTGTCCCTTTGGCTGCGTAGACATGCTCGAGACCTGATCTACGAAGCTGGTGAAGAAGAGCTGGGTCTGGAGTGCGAGGTTCAGCAAGAAGACATTGCTGTTGACTGCTCGGGCTCTCTCATGGGCCTTTGCAGAGGTCATCCAGGGTCCCAGGGGCTGTGGGGAGAACAACTTGTCTGTGGCGGCTGAGGTGGGCGGGATGAGAGACCCAGCCTGGTGTCCCGGCTCTGCCTCTGACTCATTGTGTGACAGCAGACTGGCTTCCTCTCTCTGGGTCTTGCATCCCCCTTTGTCAGGTGAGGCCATGAGGTGGATGACCCTCAAAGTCCTCCTTAGCCTCTGTTTCTGTCGCTGCCGGGCAGGGTTCTCTTAGCTAGTGGCCAGGGGCTGTTAGGGGCTGGAGAGGAACTTAGAATGTAGAATGTTAGAGCAGGAAGAAGTCCTCAAATGCAGAGTGTTAAAGCATAGAACACCAAATGATAGAGCTAGAAAGAGCCTTAGCATGTAGGATACATAAAATGTACATTAGAACAGAGATGTCAGAGCTGAGAGGGAACTAGAACACAGACTACCAAGGTTGGGAGGGAAGCCAGAACATAAAATGTCAGGGTGGGGAGGGAACTTAGAACATTGCATGTCAGAGCTGGGAGGGTACTCAGAACAGAGATTGTGATAACTGGGAAGCACCTTAGAATCCAGAATGTGAGAGCTCGTGGGGACCTTAGATCATGGAATGTCAAAGCTTGGAGAGGTCTTAGAACATGGAGTGTTAGCGCTGGATTAGAACATAGAACAAAGAATGTTGGTGCTAGAAAAGATCTGAGAGCAAAGGATGCATAGAATTATACTAGAACACAGAGAACAGAATGTTAGAGCTAGAAGGACCTTAGAATACAAAATGCATGGACTGCACATTGATACAGACAATACCGGGGTGAGAAGAACCTTGGGACACAATGTTGAGCTAGAAAAAGATATGGGGAAAGGAAGAAAAGTGGGACAGAGGAAGTAGGAAGAGATTAGGAAGAGGGAGAAGGGATGATGGAGGAACTAATGGTAGTAACAGAGATCGAGGCAATGGAGATGGTGAGGGACAAAGAGGAAATAACTCAAGAATGGAAGGGGATGGGGACAGGGAAGTGAGGGTGGAGAAAAAGAGCAGATATGATTTAATAGGAACATGACCTGTTCTGCCTCCTAGTACCAAAGTGTGACCTTGGCAAGCCTTTTCCATTCTCTGGGCCTTCGCTGCCTCATCTGTAAAGTGGGCACCATTATCCCTAACCTGTCCATTTCACAAGGCTATTATGGAGAATGAGATGGTCATTTTAAAAGCCTCTGTAAGTTATTATGCCCATCATTCTGGACAGATGTTGGCAAGGGACAAGGAGCTGGACCCAGATTTGAAGAGGAGGAGAAGCGTGGACTGAAACACAGGATCATAGATCTCCCATTGGTGGATTCCTTCCTGGGCCTCCATTTTGGGCTTAGTCTGTTCATGAACCATTTGCCTTTTGATTGTGCTTCTGATTCTACTGTCTTTACCACCAGGTGAGTACCTTCTCTTCCCTTCTTCTTTAATGCATGGTCTTCCCCCATCAGAATGTAAACTTCTTGAGTGCAGGGACCCTCTTTCTTTTTGCTTGAATTTGCACCCAATACTTAGCATAGTGCCTGGCAAAAAGCAAGCTTTTAATAAAGGCTTAATGCCTTGCCTGCCTGCTCAGCACTAGAAGGAGGGCCAGAGGTCATCTGGTTCCTCCTCTTCATTTTACAGATGCAGAAACTTAATGAGAGAGATTAAATAATTTGTCCAAGGTCACACAAGTAGTAAGTGGCTGAGTCTGGACTTGAATCCAGCCTCTGATTTCAAATCCAGTCCCCTTTCCACCATCCCACTCTGTACCATTCCTTCAACAGGCCCCAAGCTACTCCCTGACACCAAAATCCATCTTTGGGGTATCAATATTCCCTTAGTGATGTTGTGTGCTGTAAATCATGAAACATCACCATCTTAGAAGAACCACAGGAGCATAGATAGGAAGGGATCTTGGAGGTCAAAGGGTCCAATCCCCTTATTTGACTTGTCCAAGGCCCCACAGATAGTGACTAGAAGAGTTGGTATTTGAACATGGGACTCTCTGACTCCAAATCCATGACCTTCCCACAGTGGGACTGAGTGGAAGGGACAATGATGGGTATAGGACTGGGAATGGGAATGAGAATGGGGATGTGGATGGGGAAGGGTGTGTGATAACAGAGATGGGTAAGAAGGAAGGAGAGAAGGAAGAGATGAAAGAAAAGGGTGAGGAGTTGAGGATAAAAGAGAAAGGGTGGGGAAGAGGTTGGAGGGGCAGGAGGAAGAAGGGGTCATTTCTGATGACACTGAGGCTTTTCAATGTTGCTCATTTCTCCAGCCCCACCCCTACCTCCCAAACCACATGCCCAGACCCATCTCCACAAGCACTTCTCTCCGGTCCTTCCATTGCCTCTAACGTGTTCTATGTCAGGTCCAGAACCCCCTTGAACCCCCCTGCTCACCTCCAAAAGGCTACTTAGGCCAGCTGGGCTAGGATCTTCTAAGAAAAGAGAGTTCAGCAATGTCTGAAGGGCATCCAGTGTCTGAGAATACAACATCTGAGGAAGGAGAGGAGAATAGAAGAGATGTGATTGTGAGTTCTGGAGAGTGGTGAAGGGACCTCCCACAAACAATGGGCCGTTTTCAGGGTAGGGGATCAAGGAGTTGCCTTTTAGCCCTTTCAGTGAGTCAAAGGGAAGAGAATCATAAAATCTCACAGGTGGAATGCCCTTTAAGGTCAATCAGTCAACTGATAAGCAATTATTAAGCACCTACTGTGCTAAGCACTGGGGATACAAAGAAAGACAAAATCAGCAACAACAAAATGCAGTCCCTACCTTCAAGGAGCTCACAGTGTAATGGGGGAGAACACATGCAAACAAACGAGCCATAAGCAGGATAAATTCGAGAGAAGTCACTGGCACTGAGGGGGCTTAGGAAAGACTTCTTACAGAAGGTAGGACTTTAGCTTAAACTTGAAAGAAGCCCTAGAAACCAGGAGGAAGAGATGAGAAGGGGAGAAGCCCAGCAAGGAGGGCCAGCCAGCAAAAACGTCCAGAGGCTGGAAACAGAGACTCATTTGAGGAACAGCATGGCAGCCAGTATCCCTGGATCACAGGATGTAGCGAGGAAAGTGACAACGGTCTGCAGACTAGAAAGTCAGGAGGGAGCCAGCTCATGAAGGGCTTCAGAAGCCAGGCAGATTTCCTGTCTGATCCTGGAGACGTTAGGGAACCATTTGAGTTTGCTGGCTAAAGGAGTGACTTGTCCATCTAAGGGCGCTTTGGCAAGAAGACTTTGCTTGCTGAGTGGAAGACGGGCCAGAGTGGAGTGGGGAGAGACTTGAGGCAGGAAGACCACCAGAGGCTATTCCAGCAGTCCAGGCAGGATGAGAGGAGAGATGGGGGTGTGTGTATTCAAGAGGCAGGATGTGACAACTGATTGGTCACGGGGGTCAGGGCTTAGGTGACTAAGATGGTGGTACCCTCAACAGTAACAGGGAAATTCGGAAGCAGGGAAGGTTTGGTGGGAAAGGTTTAGAGTCCAGTTTTGGACATGTTGACTTTAAGTTGTCTGTGGAACTTCCAGCTGAGTAATTAATATCTAGTTTAGTAAGTAGACATTAATGATATCTGACAGTAGGAGATGTGAGTTCCTTGAGGCCAGAGACTGTATTTGTACCAGTCCCTAGTTCTTAGCTCACTGTCTGGCTCATACTAGGTGTTTAGTGAATGCTTACTGACTCTCAATCAGTCCACAAGCTTTTATTAAGCACATGCCAGGCACTGTGCTAGGGATAAAAAGAAAGGGAATAAAAATATCGGCGAAAAGAAAGACGGTCCCTGCCCTCAGGGAGCTTACATTCTAACGGAGAACACAACACATAAAAAAAGCTTAAGAAGGAGGGGATACCCAGTGTGGGGGGCATGATGGAGAAATGCAGAAGAGTGTAGTCTGGTGGGATGTCAAAGAGAGGGCTGGTCTGGGCACCCTCCTTAAATGGAGGTTCTGGAAGGAACTTTCCACATCTAATCAGAGGCAGGGGCCCAGGGACACAGGGTACTTCTAAGGCATGAATTCCAGGACTGATAGACTTTCCAGGATAACTGGCTAGCTGATTGACTTGCGGGAGAGACTGTAGGTTGGTAAGTCCCTCTCAAGGCTCAAAGTACGAGATCCTCTTTTTGTGTTGAATGAACAAAGGTGGAAAGGAAATGAATGATGTATACAACATTCCCATTGGTTCTTTTAACACCATTGGTCAGGTGAGCTATCAATTCTAGCATCAGGCCAGCCGGTCACAGTATAATAACAATTAAAGCCATCACTGGTTGGCCAGGTATTGATAGCTTAACCAGCCAGTCGGTGACATTTAGGGAAGACAGGGAGGGAATGGTCTCTTCTGCCTTCATAATCATTGGCTCTTTCACTGTCTTTTAGTGCAAAATTCCCCCTAAAGGGCTACTTCTACCATTAGAGCCTCATTTCTTTGGCTTTAGAAAGATGCTGATACCAGAAGAGGAGATTTGGATGGCTAGCTGTGGAAGAGCTGGGATAAGGGTGCCTGGGAAGAAGGAGAGGGGCACTGAAAGGAAGTGGGAAGCTGCCAAAGGCCAATCTCCCATCTTCACATGCCCTCACTCTGGCCCTGCCTCAGCTGGATAGAGATCATTATGTTTATGGAGACATTAAGTCTATGGAGACCATTAAGTATAGCTAGCAAAAGGATTACCTCCTTCTTCCTGTAGTACTAAAAAATCCCACCTGAAGATAAGACCATGTAGAGCAAACCAGCCACAAAAGAAACCAAAAAGACCTGGGTTCAAGTCTTTCCTCTAACACATCCAGGCTGAGTGAGCCTGGTGGCTCTCTCTAGGACTATTGGTTGCAGTGGAGATGACGACCTTCATTAGGAGAGAAAGAGTTTCTTACACCAAAGAAATCACAGATCTGCCCCGATTAATGCAACAGGAAATAGAAGGTATAAACAATGCTATCTTAGGAAAAGAAAATGAACAAAACCATAAAGGAACTCCCAAAGGGAAAAAAAACCCCCCTGGACCAGATGGATTTACAAGGATATTCTACTAAACATTTAAAGGATAATTAATTCCAATTCTATAGAAACTGTTTGCCAAAAATAAAATTAAAAAATAACGAATGGGTCCTACCATATTCCTTCTATGACACAAATATGATGTTAATACCTAAACCAGAAAGAGTCAACCCAATATCCCTATTGATGCAAAAATTTTTAATGAAATATTAGCAAAGAGACCACTGCACAACTGTGACCAGTCTGGATTTATACTAGGAATGCCAGGCTGGTCTATATTAAGAAAACTACAAATATACTTGACCATATTAATAACAAAAACAACAAACACCATATGGTTCTATCAAGAGATAGAAAAAACTTGATAATATACACTGTTTGAAAAAAATTAGAAAGTATAAGAATAAACGATGCTTTTTACAAAGTGATAATGTATCTATCTAAAACCAAGAGCCAACATGATCTGTAATGGGGATAAGCTAAAGGCCTTCCCAATAAGACCAGTGGCAAAACAAGGATGTCCATTATCAACATTACTATTCAGTATAGCTGCTAGAAATGCTAATTATAGCAATCAGATAAGAAAAAATAAATTGAAGGAATAAGCATAGACAAGGAAGAAACAACATTACCCCTTTTTGCATATTATATGATAGTTTACTTAAAGAACTTTAGAGAATCAACTAAAGAACTAATTAAAATAATTTATTACTTCAGCAAAGTTGCAGGATATAAAATAAAATCAGACAAATCATTAACATTTCTTTATATGACCCACAAAATCCAGTAGGAAGACATAGGAAGACAAACAATATTTAAACATTACAGATAGTACAAAACATTTGGGGTCAGCTAGGTGGTACAGTGGATGAAGTGCTGAGCCTGGAGTCAGGAAGATCTGAATTTAAATCTGGCCTCAGACACTTACTACTTGTGATACCCTGGGCAAATCACTTAACCCTGTTTGCCTCAGTTTCCTCATCTGTAAAATGAACCAGAGAAGGAAATGACAGACCACTCCAGTATCTTTGCCCAAAAAACCCCAAATGAGGTCACAAAGAGTTGGACATGACTAAAAAGATTGAACAACATAGCATTTGGGAATCCACCTGCCAAAACACTGTGAGCAAAATTGTCGGTGCTGGAACAAACCAGAACCAAGACCAAAAATTTAGGAACCCACAAGGGTTTATTGAGTTTGCCAGGAAGGGAATCCCATCTGAACCAGTAAAGACTCCCCAGTGGAACAAAAAGACAAAGTTTGTATAGGTTTAGATTTAGACAGGAGGCTAATTGGGTATGGGGTACCTCAAAGTCGGACAAAATTAGTTGCTGAGACTAGTAATAGGAAAGGCTCTGCTTCAGGTTGGCTCTCTCCTATAACCCCTACCCCCAAAGGTAGGACTGTCATTGCTGTTTTAGCAATAAGAAGGTCTCAGACATGGTGGCTGTTGCAACACAAACAGGGTCATGGGCAAGAGAGAGGAACTTCAGACAATATGGAGTTGCTTTAGCTTTTTTGGTTACCCACAACCCTCCACCCCTTGAGACAATGATAGTTTCACAATTTTTTAAAACAATTCCCAAATCAGTATCAGCCCAAGCAGAAATGATAAGCAGCTTGCAGAATAGGTAACAAGTCCATAATACATGCAGAACTAATAAAACAAGCAAAATTACAATAGGGTGAATAATAACACCTAATATAGTTGTAGCTTTTAAGGGTGTCAAATTCTTTGGCAGTGTCCATAATCTTCAGGGGTCTGGCAAGCACCTCCTGTGCATCCTTCAAGCATCTGTGGATGGATCAGGGCATATTTGTGGAACTATTTCCTTGACCATCTCCAAGTTCCTGGTCACTTGTAAAGATTCTCTAGGTAAGGCTGCTAAAGCCAGCTAGTGATAGTGATAAGACCTAATATATTAGTAAAAACCAACAAAATATAATCAGATTGACTTTCTAGTAATTCGTTCATGTGGTAAAACCAGTTCAGACCTTATGGAGATAACCTTACAAATAACAGAGTTCTAGGAAGAACATCAAAGCAGACTACACAATAAGGTACCTTATACTTGCATCTTCCTACAGCAATTCAGAGGTGCTGGGGTATTGCAACAACAAGATTCATATGTGTGTGTGTGTGTGTGTGTGTGTGTGTGTGTGTGTGTGTGTGTAATATACATATATATATTATATATATACATATATATATATATATATATATATATATATATGTTACAGTTTTACCTATTATGGTTAGAGAGATTTGCTACATTTTTTTTTTTGCTTTTTGAAGAGGCAATTGGGGTTAAGTGACTTGCCCAGAGTCACACAGCTAGGGATTTTTATGTGTCTGAGGCCAGATTTGAACTCAGGTCCTCCTGACTCCAGAGTTGGTGCTCTATCCACTGTGCCACCTAGCTGCCCCAAGAGATTTGCTACAAATGGAAAAAGGAGGGGCATAATTGTAATACCAAGACTGTTCTTCCAGGTCTAAAGGC